AAGGCTGATGTTTGTATATATTGTTTGTATTCGAACTTGATTAGGCTGATGTTTAGGATGCTTGTTTTAATTTGACTAAAAACTCTAGAAGACTTTGGTTGTACATTAAAATTCTTAATGGCAATGCTTGTACATTAAAATTCTTAAAATTAAGTCGTCTTATAATCTTTTGGTTGTGCAATTTGACAAAACACTAGAAGACTTAACTTTAAGTCGTCCAGAGGACAAGGTGCCCATGAACGACTTAACAACTCCAGACGACTTAATTATAGGTCGTCTGAATGACTAAACAACACTACAAGACTTAACTTTAGGTCGTCCAGAGGACAAGGTAACCATGGACGACTTAACAACACTAGACGACTTAATTATAGGTAGTCTGAACGACTAAACAACACTACAAGACTTAATTTTAGGTCGTCCAGAGGACAAGGTAACCATGGACGACTTAACAACACTAGACGACTTAATTATAGGTCGTCTGAACGACTAAACAACACTAGACGACTTAACTTTAGGTCGTCTGGACGACTAATCAACACTAGACGACTTAACTATAGGTCGTCTGGACGACTAATCAACCGGATTCTTACATTGTGGTTTGGTATGGCCAGTTTCCTTGCAGTTTGAGCATCTATAAACCCTGTGTTGCTTCCGTGGTTTGCGTCCTTTCATCCTAGATAGCTCCAACCAAGATTGCCATCTTGATTTCTTTTGTCTCCCCGGACCACGCTTTACCTCTGGAGGGAAGCATGTGCGTTCTTCAACTTGTTGTCCAGCACAAGAAAATATATTCTCTGAGTATCCTCCAAACAAATTCTCCTTTGAGTACACTGGATGTATACAAGTGTGGATATATGCAAACCAGCAAATGTACCAGCAGCTATAGCATGAGAACAAGGTATTTTCTCCACTTAGTAGACACCACAATCACACTTTCCATGTTCCAAATCAACCACACAGTCCATTTTGCCACCTTTCACAAAGAATCACCATCCATCAATTGGTTGGGCCCTCATCGTATCTGCTATCTCCTCTCGAACAGCAAGCAAGTATTCAACACCCCGACTATGTTGAGTTGGGAGACTCAAAGCATCTTCTCTCCTTTTCCAATACCACTTTCCTAGCTTCTCCCTTATGAACTCCAGCAGAAACTTAATCGGAAATCCTCTAGCTCGCTTCAGTGCAGAA